CCAATATAAGTTATATTCGAGTCAAAACGACTTAATATCTATAATATATTATAACTTGTGTAAAGATCAGATCAGATCAGATCTTAAATAATAGTGTTCATCGACTCACGATACCGAGACATTTATACATTGCAAAAACAACACATCTGTCGACAAAGAAGGTAGGTAAGTGGAACTTTAATTTATACATGCAAAACTAAATACGTAGTTTCATGTCGATCTGGCAATACATAGTTGCAGAATAAGGTAATGCAGATAGGGTATTCAACTTCAATCATTCAATAACTAACCACATCTAATTCAAATCACACTTAAATACATTCCCCACATCATTTATTTTTATTTCTTATTTACTTTATTAAACCACCAATTTACGTCCCAGCTTTACACCTTATTTGCTTATTTTATTCTACTACAAAAGTACTATCTTAAATAAATGTGATTAATTCTAAAGCAATAGTGTACTAAAAAATAAAAAATAAAATAATATCTCCACGAGAAAAATTGAAATTACTTAAAGATGAATCGGTTTCGGAATAGTGTACTAAAAAATAAAAAATAAAATAATATCTCCACGAGAAAAATTGAAATTACTTAAAGATGAATCGGTTTCGGAATAGTGTACTAAAAAATAAAATAATAAAAAAATATTGAGAATTATAATTTGAATATTTTTTTCAGTATTTAAATTAATTTAAAATAATATAAATTATTATTTCCAGTAAGTACTAAATGTTAAGTAGGCATCTATTAGAATAGTAGTTGGGTGTACGAGTATTTAGATTTGTTAAGATAAGATTTGCATTAAAATATTTAATACTTACAAAATAGTTAATAACTTAATATAACATGCAGCATTGCAGCTTAAAGCAAAAGAAAAAGCTTTAGATTAGGTAGTTAAATGTAAAAATCATTTATGTTTTTAATACTTACCCAGTAAAAAATATTTATAACTTGATAAGTTGTAATGTTTTACGAGTATAATAAAATGTTTAATGGATTATTAAAATACATATTTGTATCAAATCTTAATCCTTCACAGACCAATTTAATTTACCTTAGCTAAATTTAAAAATTGAATTAGCTGTTTACAGAAATTCCTATAAATTTGATTTTTATTATAAACATAATGTGATTTGTGAATGAGATAATTTAAATTATTTAAGAATACTTACAGATTTGGACTCCGATTTGGATTTTTTGCTAAAGAAGCTATCTAAGTTACCTTGTGCACGTTATATTCACTCATTTTTAAAACCGTGTGCCAAACTTTTAATAAATAAAAACGAGTGTTACACTTAAGCTGTGTTAATGTGTTTACACGATGATAGTAAAGTTGTGTAACAGGCGATTTTTACCCCCGGATATTTTTACCCACCGCTTCCAGAGGGGGTAAAAATATACTGGGATAAATTAAACTTTATTTAAATTATACTAGGATATATTTACCTCCCAGCTGAATTCATATAGGATATTTTTCCCCCCCCTATAAAAATGTGTTCTTCTTATTATATTGATCTGTTTATTAAAAATTAAACAGTATTTTCAACATATTCGTGACTGTCGCTAAATATTATGATAAGAATAAAAATACAACTATACAATTCAAAGTAAAATGTACGGTATTATACTTAATTAACAATCAAGTTGGATAAAAAAACTTTGATTCTAAACTAAAGTTAATTGAATTTCTAGATATTGTATAAACTTTTTATGATTTAGTATTTACAGTAAAAATATTATTCAATGTCCTTTAACTTACAAATGATTCAATGAATAATTACAAAAATTACAAAAATTACTTTAAAACCTTTTCATTATGAGACAATGATAAAGCAAAATGATGAGCAAAATATGTTAATAATTTATTTCTCTAAATCAATCTACTATTTGGTCAAAACTACTTCAATCGTTGACAAAAAATAATAATAAATGTGTTAGTAGGTAAGGTACATATTATATTTTGTATATTTTTAAAATACTTTAACGAGGATACCCCGACAAAATATCGCAACTAAAATATCGCGAAACCATTATATCGTAAGGAAATAATACTGCCGTACATTATTATAGCGTCTGTATATTGCATTTGACTTAATCTTATCTAATCGTATTCACCTTTTAGCTAGCAATGCATTCAAGTATACTGGTTTTTCATTTTATAATTTCTATTTAATAATACTTTGTACTGTCACTGTGACTGACGCTTTTACAGTTTCACACTTTTATACGGTTTTATAGAGTTTTTTTTTTTATTTATTTTAATTTTAAATGGAGTTAAATTTTTTAAAAACTGCAAAAGGCAAAAATTTATTAGTTCATAACGGATATACTTTTACAAAAGAAAAATATGGTGCTGATTCCAAGGTAAGATAAATAATATTACTATTTATAACATTCTATGTTCGCATCTATAATAATGGGTGCGCGGAATAACAGGGCCGCCATAATTAGTCGTCCGTCGTTTTCGAGCCGTGTGGTGATCCGTGTTAGAAGAATCTGTGTTGCCCGTCAATTATAATTAAATATGCATTTATTTGCATTATTTATTATTTTCAGATTATTTGGAAGTGCAGTCAATATGCCAGTAAAAAATGCCGTGGAAGGTGTCATACACAATCAAATAACGTTATTTGGGACTCAGACAATCACATTCATTTACCAGAGGCATCCAGATTGGCTGCAATTCAATTTATCTCAGAAATAAAAGAAAATGCAACAACTTCTACTAGTACTTCAGCGTCGGTTTCAGCTTCAGCTTCAAAAGAATTACCTCGTGAAATAATTTCTTATATTCCAAAAATTGACTCCTTAAAAAGAACAATTCAGCGAGTACGGAAGAAGGAATTTCCAACTTTACGCCCTAATTGTGTAGAAGAACTAACAATTCCTGATATATATATATATATCAAATAACAGATAAAAAAGAAAAAATTGTATATTTTGACTCTGGAAGTGAAAACATACGTGTTTTAGTATTTTGTACTGAGGATAATTTGAAAATATTAAAAAACGGTTCACAATGGTATGCGGATGGAACATTTAAATCTACTCCGCCACTTTTTAATCAGTTTTTTGTAATTCACGGAAAATTAAATGATGGATCCATATTCCCATTGATATACAGTATAATGACTCACAGAACAGAACAAGCTTACAATATTTTGTTTAATTTTCTAGCTGATGAACTTGRAGAGTTTGAACCAGAGTCTATCATGACAGATTTCGAAATGGCTTCTAGAAAATCATACAGTAAGTGTTTTCCAACTACTAAACAACGAGGTTGCTAATTTCATCTAATGAAAGCTATTTGGAAAAAAATACAAACAATTCCAGAAATGCAAAAGTTGTGCAAGGAAAATATAATTTTCTCTTCGAAAATTCGTTATTTTGCTTCTCTGGCTTTAATACCGCCATCAGATGTTTGTGATGCTTATGAAAAAATATTAAAATTAGATTTTTTTGTTAAAAATAATCAAATTATTTTTCCTTTCCTAACATACTTTGAGGAGACTTGGATTGGTACTAAAAAACGAGRGCGAAGATATCCTCCGTTATTTCCTATACCTCTATRGAATRTTTATGAGGCAATACAAAGTGACTGGGATAAAACAAATAACATTTGTGAAGGATTTAACAACGGATTTGCTCATTTACTTTCTCCTCAACATCCTTCAATCTATAAATTTATAAATGGTTTGAGACGTCAACAAAACCTAACGGAAATTAAAATAAGTCAAAGTATAGTAAGAAATCCAAATACGCCAAATAAAAAGAACAAGACAGTCAGTTGGGCTGAATGAGTAAAGAAAGTAGAAGCAGATTATCATAATCGAGAGTTTGAAGGTTATCTTCAAGGTATTTCATTGAATATATACTTCCATTAATTAATATACATATTTAATTTTTTTTTAATACTTATATCAATTATACTATATATTAATATAACAATATTATATGCTTGAAATATAATATTTATTTATAATGAAATTACTGCTTTATTTCATGCTGGCGGTATATGTATATACTAGCGATATTTATTCCATGCGATATAATGGTTTCGCGATATTTTAGTTGCGATATTTTGGTCACGCGATATTTTACCGGCGATATTTTGTCGGTGATTCTTTAATGAGTACGTGTTGAATTGTGTGGAATCTTGTATTAAATTGTCATAATTTTTAACTGAGCATAAAAATATAGATACTTATATACAACTATGCAAAAAAACCTAAGAAAAAAAATAATATTTAAAATAATTCTAAATAGCTTAAAATGAGCCAAATATTTTGCGAATTGTATAATAAATAGCAAATGTCTATTTGATGAAAATTACAAGTACCTATGACAAACTATTTTTGAATTACATACGGTTCGTTGATTATATTCTAGGATATTTTTACC